GCCTTAATACACTTATTAATAAGACACCCTGGCTGCAGAGAGATGCAGTCTACGACAACAGTAGTTGGTGAGTGCTTATATTATTTCACAATATAATTTTGAACGAATAAGGAACAGCACCGTTTAGTTCAGCCTAAAACCTGAGAGCACATTTCCTGCCCTTCCGGGGTTTTCCTGTGACAATATATCTACACTGAAGACAATAGGAGCTTAACAGCCTAAACTAAATTAAAGATTTAACATTTAGATTTAGATTTAAATTTAAATTCAACATTTAGATTTAGCATATAGATTTAACATTTAACATTTAGGTGTAACATTTATTATTTGGATTTAACTATTTAAAATATCTCTAAGTTGACAAACATTGTTGTAAATGTGCAAAAAAGTGACCCTCAAAAATTCCTACCAGTTTTTTAAACATTGTTTGAAGCTAAATGTGACAAAATGTTGCTGTTATTCTCAGCGTGAGCCGCTTTACAAACGGCACCCCATAGCTCACGACATTAAAAAACACGCATTAAATAGTGCTGCGTAAACGCACGTGCCCCTTGACTGACGTAGGACACAATAGAATTGTCACGAATATCGATACAATGCCAATAATCAGACTTTAACAGAAGAATTCATCAATAATGACAGTCAATAGTCATTAATTGAGCAAGATATATAATGGATGAATGAATTTTCCATTTATAGAGTTACAGAGTTACGGAGTCTCCCCCAGCATGAAGCTTGGTAATTCACAGCATAAACTTTGTGTGAATCTCTATAAAAAATATCAGCAGGGAAAAATATGGAGACATCTGCACCAGCTGGCTTAATATATTAACCTCACCTTATAAGTTTCATGTTCATCTTGCAAACATTTAACAAACAATAACTACGTTAGCATCACTTTGGCTCCTGTAGCTAACAACGGTTAGCATGTGCTAACGGTACACGAACAATGAATAACAAGCATACATCCTTAAAAAGACTAAGTTACTTCCTCTGCCGTCTCTCCACAGCCAGTTGGTACAATCCCTCTTTCAGGAACAGTCTTTCAGCCAGTCCAGTGTACTGACCGAGGTTGTGAACACAGTCCGACACGAAGTGGTTCACACACTTCCGGTTTTTCTGATGGACATTGCCTTCAAAAATAAAAATAAATCCAGTGGCTCATACCTATGTAAATTTGTGTTGGGCTGTGCCGCCAATGACTGAACAGTTTGTCTGCTGAAGCCTTTGCCCAGTCATTAGGCTGGCAGGCGGCAGGCCTGAGACTTTAATGGATAAAACTATCAAAAGTTCCCAGTTACCTTTTCCTTATAGGCTTGGTTTATTCTCTCATTTTGGCACTCCCTCACTCTCTCTATTTCTGTTCCCTTCCCCTATCATCCAGGGCCCTATCCCTTCATCCTACCTGTTTGTACTGCTAGTTTCGTCAGCTCAACTTATTGTCCTGCCCTCTCTCCCTGTCTGAGTTGCTGTTCCGACAATATCTCCCTCCAGGGAGCGACCCCAAAAGGGTATGCAGGTGGCAATACTAGATCAGTATCTTTATAAATCAGTACCTTTATAAATCAAGACCTTTATAAATCAGGACCTTTCTGATGTGAAATGAGCAGCAGTAAAGCAGAAGAAATTCAATTCACAACCCAAAAAATGCTCTTTTCTTTATATATATATATATATATACACTCCTGAACAAAATCTTAAGACCGGGAGAAAAATAGTATTCGCATTTCGCATTGGTGGAACATAACCAGGTTGTAAGTAGAGCTTCAAAATGCCAAAAGAAGAAACAGGAGCAAGAGACAAAACAATAGAGGAGGCCATTTATTGAAAATTGCATTTAAACTCAAACAGGCTGTTCATCAGCTGATCCAAAGTTTAAGACCATAGCCTTAAAAAGTCCAAATTTGTGCAAAAATCTTGCTTTCGTGGCATTTTCTATCAGGCATTCACACTGTCATGACCACCTGATGACAAAGGCAAAAAGGCTTTCTGTCTTTGAACGTGGCAGGATGTTGAGCTGCACAAGCAAGGCCTCTCGGAACGCACCATCGCTGCCGAGGTTGGACGAAAATTTCTTAAAAGGTCCTGAAGGTTATGGGACAAAAATGTCAAGTGGTAGACACAAAAAAATTTCACCTGCGCCGAGCCAGAGGATCCAATGGGCTGTCCGTGAATACACAGGCCGATCCTCGATCCAAATTAAGACCCTTGACTGATGCTGACTGTAGCGCAATAACCATCAGACAACGTCTGCGACAGAAGGGCTTTAAGAGCAAAAAACGTCTTCAAAGGCCACTTCTCCTCCCACACCACAAACGTGCCCGTTTGCACTTTGCAAGGGAGCACCAAACATGGGACATTGAAAGGTGGAAGAAAGTTTTATTCTCTGATGAGAAAATGTTTTACCTTGACGGTCCTGATGGCTTCCAACGTTACTGGTATGACAAGGAGATCCCACTGGAGATGTTTTCTAGGCGGCACAGTGGAGGAAGCTCCATCATGATCTGGGGTGCTTTTTCCTTCAATGGAACAATGGAGCTTCAGGTTGTGCAGGGGCGTCAAACCGCAGCTGGCTATGTGGAGATGTTGCAGCGGGCATCCCTCTTGACTGAGAGCCCTCGACTTTGTGGTGATCTACTGGGTCTTTCAGCAGGACAACGCTGCAGTTCACAACGCCCGCCTGACGAAGGACTTCGAATAACGTTGCTCTATTAGGCCGTCCTGCGTGTTCCCCTTATCTAAATCCCATTGAGAACGTTTGGGGATGGATGGCAAGGGAAGTTTACAAAAACAGAGATCAGTTCCAGACCATGGATGCCCTTTGTGAAGCCATCTTCACCACATGGAGCAACATTCCCGACATCCTCCTGGAAACACTCGCATCAAGCATGTCAACGAATTTTTGAAGTTATCAACAACAACGGCGGGGCTTCATTAGTAGTACGGTCAGAGGACTCAATATGTCCACCAGTTAAAGGCTATATTTTCTAAAAGGAAATATTTATCAACATGGTATTTTGGGGTATTATTTAAATGTTTTAAACAACTGTAATAAACAAATCATAGCCACCAGTGAACATTACTAATACATTTTCTCTGTCATTCTTTCATTGTACATATATTCTGTGTTTTAGGCAGAGAGCCATTGTGGATTACCTCTTTACCAATCCAGAGCAAATCTGTTGGGTTCTCAATGGCTATGATGAGTTTCACAGAAAACTCACCAGACAAAAGAAAGAGCAGAGAGAGCTATTGGACCCAGAAAAGCCTCTGCCTGTCGCAGACCTCATCTCTGCGTTGTTAAATCGCCAGCTTCTTCCAGGATGTACTGTGGTGGTCACCTGTCGTGCTCGAGATGTCATTGATTTGGAAGGCTTATCAGATAAAGTGGGGTAGCTGCTGGGGTGGGACTGCCATGAGATCAAGGAGTATGTGCACAACTTCTTTGTAAAAGGTGAAAACGTGCCTTTTATACTTACAGTGTGATATTTGTTATTCTGCATAGAGTTAGCTCTCCATTCACTTGGCAATAGACCAATAGACCCTTTCACAGCAGCCATTTTGACAAGCCACAAGGGGTAAACACAGGTTTTTACCAATGATACTAATTAAGCTTCCATGAGTATACGGAACAGATAATATACTTTTTACAAATACGAGTACCATCAGAGTAAAATGCATCAGTATCTGTACTCGTAAACAGCTTTTATATATATATATATATATATATATAAAACATGTTCTGTAAATAGTTCTTACTCTTGTGATCAAAAACATTGCTCTGAAGCTGTTCTGGCTGTTCTGTTATAAATACAGCAACATCTGATCAACCCAACAGATACAGATACAGATAATGGCATACTTCTCATCCCTAGACAACATGCACGAAAGCAGTCCACTGACTCTGTTTGACCTGAATAGAACAGAACCTTATGCATGATTGTGCAGGATCCTGTGTTTTTGGAGCTTGAACCATATTTCAAGGAAATCTTTCTGATTTTGACCATGCAAGTCACTCAGTAAATGTATTTGCTAGTGGACCCCTTTAAGACTCCAGGGGGTAGAAGATTCATCTTTAGATCTTTTGCATAATTATAGTGTAATTGTAGTTAGGTTATCAGAATGCAAAAAAGCTAGCTCTGAAGCAATTCATTTGGTCATGAAATGGAATTTCCTCATGTGCATTTTGAAATTGACCTTGCACACCCATGTGTGTTTTCATTTATTCCAGCTAACCTCTGCTCAGCTTGAAGTTGGGCTGAGCTTTGCTGGGTATTACATAAGATCACTGAACTTCATGCAATAACGAGAATCATAACAGTTGCAACAAAACTAACAGGAGAGCCAGAGTGATATCAATCAACCTCAGTCTGAACTCACCCACAAGTCTACACAGGCAAAATTAGGGGAAAATACTGTGTGGGTCTACCTTACGTTTTTGTGGTTTTAAACTATTTTATGTCTCAACTGCAAAGGTAACTCAGCCAGTGGATCTCTTGGAGTGCAGGCAGCGGACCTCCTTCTTATCACGCGACACTTCCTTGCCATGTCATCCCTCCCTGCACTCTGCAACATCTGCTGCATCTGCCTGGAGCATTTACTGGGAGGGAGAGTCACAGGTGAAAAAGTGAGAGAAAAAGAAGAAAAAATGAGTACAGGTGGCAGGAGGAAGAGGAGAAGAGGACAGTAAAGGAGGGAATCATGCACAAACTGTACATCAAGGAGGAAGAAGAGGGAGTGAAGATGGAACAAATGGTAGAACCCAGCTACTTGCTACACAAGCCCAAATACCCTCCACCCTTACACAGGTCTACCTCACTGTTATTGGTGCATTCCCTTAGCCGTGACCCTGACGAAAGAGGAAGCAATGACATGCCAAAGACACCGCCACAGAGGTGAAGGCTGAGTAGAGTACCAAACACAGCACCATTTCACACCACTGACACAACTGTGATGGGCTAGTGTTATGGTTGAACCCAGGAACAGACACACAGACAGGATAAGGGTTTTAAGGGGCTTTATTTAACACACACTGGGGGAAATGAGGGGTGGCCTCGGCAGGAATGGGCAGGAGAAACGGCAGGGAGAGCGGAGACACGGAAGCACTAGAGAGCCGACTCTGGGAACCGAACAGCACGGGAGGCTGGTGAACTGGCAGAGAGACCGAAGACATGGAGGCACTGGAAAGCTGACTCTGGAACCTGAACTGCACGGGAAGGATCTCTGGAACTCTGGAGATATGGAGATCTGACGGGAGAGCAGGTACAGGAAGGAGCAAGCTACTCACTGAGAGGAGGCACAAGAGTACCACCAAGTCTGCTAAAAAACAATCTGGCGCCGAAAGAAAGGAAGACCGGGGTTCTTGAGGGCTGAGACTAATGAGTAGATGAAGAGCAGGTGAGACAACGCACAGGTGAGGTGAATGGAGACCGCACCTTCATTAGACACACACACAGTGAAGGAGGAGGAGCAAAGGGAGCAGGAGAGGAGCAGAGCCATGACAACGACATTCATAACATATAGTTTTACTTTCAGTACAGTTTGATTGTACTGAATTCAGAGGACTCCTAGCTGTTCAATGCAGTTTACTATTTTACTCAAAGGGAGAAGTGAAACCCTCTCAAAGGAGTTGTAAGGCGTTTCAATTTAGTTTCACATGACCAATGAGGACCAATTGATTAAATACAAATGAATGAATTTGTTTTCCGACATGATCAGTGCTGTCAAGGTGTTCAGTGCAAAACTGTCATTGTACATTCAGCAAGTGAAAAACAAAAGATTTCAGCACTTGTCTCAAAGATGCTTGACAGTCACACAGGTGCAGCCAGCGTTTTAAATGTATCCAAGTATTGTGACCTCTTATCAAGGCTTGGACATAAGTTTGCTGACAGATTCAGTGACTTTGAGAAACTTGAGCCCTGTGTGACATTTATGGCCAACCCTTTCATGGATGTGGACATAAGTGAGATTTCACGACAGATGGCTGAACTTTTCTGTGTTGATCCTGTGGAAATGGAAAAGGAGGTTATAAACTTCAAAATAATGTGCAGTTGAAGTCTCAGCAGCATTCACAGCATTTCTGGAGCTTGGTAGAGCCAGATAACAATGAAAATCTTCACCAAGCAGCTATGAAAATGTCTGCTTAGTTTGGGTCTACATACCTCTGTGAGTCAGCTTTTTCTGACATGAATGTCCTGAAATCAAAGCTCAGAACAAGACTGACAGATTAACATTTAAATGACTCCATAAGAGTGAACTTAAGTGGATACACACCAGCATACCCCTCTCTTGTTGACTCCTTGCAGTGTCAGTCATCTCCCTCGCTAAGACAGACTGAACTTCTGAACACATTCACACTCTCTCACACACACACACACACACACACCTTCACTGCTCAATATTGAACTGAACTGAACTGAATGATTTTTATTGTGAATGCAATTTTTGTTCTTTATGTGGTTCTTTATGTGGATTTCGCCATTTAGAATATACTGATATATTGAGGATTTAAAAGGTTGTGTTGGGTAAAGTTTTTGATTCTTGGTTTGTAGAAATTGTAAGTGATCCATAATAACATTTCATTTTCAGATGTCTTGGTGCATGTAGATAGTTTTGTGAAGAGTGACACAGTGACATGGACATATATAACAATGATAAGTGAATAAGTAGCAATATCTGTATTTGTAGTAATAATAATAATAATAATAATAATAATGATGATGATGATGATGATAATAATAAGAATATTTTTGTGATATTTTAATACAGAATGTGAGATGTGGACAGTAACATATTGTAAATGTTCCGGAAAAGAAAGCTTATTGAGTTTGTTCGAAATGAGAATAAATGTTACAAAACATGAGTAGCTCTCTGCCATTTTTATTTTGTAAAAGTAGCTCTCAGAGGAAAAAAGGTTGGAGACCCCTGCAATACAGCAAGTGAAAGTATGCAAGTATAATCTGGAAAAAGTATTTAAGGTATAGAAATGAAAGTAGTCTCTAATCAGAACAATTGCCCCTGTGACTATCACACTATTATATAATTAGATTATCATTACTGATGGATTAATGTCTAAGCAGCATTTTGTTGTTGTAGTTGGTTGAGGTGGAGCTCATTTCAAACTATTTTGTATAAGACTGCAACTTATTTTATATTTTTCATTATGACTTTATCTCCTGATTGTTTTCTCAATTAAATTGATTTAATTTAAATCTAATTTTCTGCCATTTTCTGCACCAAACAATTTATCGATAATAATCAATCAACAATTAAAATAAACGTTAGTTGCAGTACTAGGAAGTACAAGATTTGAGTAAATGTGCTTTGTTACATTCCACTACTGCATCCCATATATCAAAAATCATAACAATAATTATATTCAAGTATGTAAGTAAGTAATTACAAAGTATGTCTTCAGTAATTAGTGTTCAGGGGTACTGTTGCATTATCTGAATTATGATACAAGTTGTACAAGAGTGCTATAGGATTTGACCATATAGAATTACTGTCCATACCAGTAATAACCTAGCTATGGAAAGAGATGATTCGTGTAAGATGAGTAGACTAAAAGACTGTTTGACCCTCCTCCTTAAAAGGAGACCATAAATGTACTAAAGGAGACCACAAATGTGCTGAAGCGGGCTCAAAGCGAACGGTCCAATCACAGCAGTGGTGGCTCAGGGGGTCAGCAGAGAGGGATTAGGGGTGGGACACTTACCAGTGAGACATGACACAGCAGGAGGCCTTCCTATGTATTGCCACATTTAGGGCAGGGGGAATTAATTACATTTCATTTGAAATTACAATTTTGACTTCCAACGATTATGGAAACAGTTTTTATCTCAGCTTGATAATTGAGATAAAAAAAAATTATTGTGCTGCATCCGTTTCGCTATGCTGCTCTTATTTTGTCTTGTGTTAGAAATCCAGCACACCCCTCCCTAAAAGCCCAAACTCACTTTCAGGTTACTCACTCGCATGTTTAGTTCAGCTTGAGCCAAGACAATTTATTTTTCAGTTGAATTGAAATCCACTGTTAAAAGGACACTTTTTTAAAAGTTTAGTGAATGATGTTTCCAAAGTCAATTAGTAACTGTGTTAAAAATCACCATGTTGACCAAATTAGCCACATATTTTCCTTGTAGAGGGAATGCTGCTATGTCACCAGTCAACTGGGTGCTCAAATATAAGAAAACCCAGTGTGTGTGTGTGTGTGTGTGTGTGTCATTTAATTAATACCTTTTATTTTACTGTAAAAGCTATAAAACCCTGTTTACACCCCTATAAATATGCAAGTTAAATGAATGTAGTGGAGACACATGCCATATATAACTGGCACATCCGATGTTTGAGTCTGTCTGGGTTTTTTTTTAAATTGTCATACCCTGTATATGCTAAAATTGCAACCATGGCAGTGCAGGGATTTTCACTAATCAATCAGGCTGTCAAAAGCAGTTAAAACTGCAGTCAGCTGGCTTGTATCCTACTACTGTGGCAGTTCATTACAAGGTTTGTGTCATAGTGATCCCACAGCTGTGAAACTAGCGGGCTCCGTATGGCAGCTCTGAAAGCATCATGTTACAACATCCATAGAAATAACAACATCTCTCTGATGATCACCAAGCAGGTGGTGTGAGTTATTCTCATCTGGCAGGAGAGGCTAGGAAGTGTCCTCTATACAGCAATATAACTTAGTCCAATAAATATTGACTTTGCTCTGTCCTCTTCCTTATTGCTCTCTCAGATTCAGTCTGAAAACTCGCTGAATGACAAAGTCAGACCAGAGGACAGTTTTTACTGACTCCCTGTACCTGTATGTATGTGGCCTGGCTTCCCCACACTGCACTCCAGATCAATTAGCCAGGACATCTGGCGGAACAGGAGGCCAAAATTGGGTCCAAAAACGAAAAGCCCTCGTTCTGAAACTGCTAAAAAAACCTGTGTCACAGCAACACTGACTGGACCAAAGGTAGAAAATGAGCTGAAGTGAATTCTGATAAACAGATGTATAATTTACATATAATTGTCTTCTCCCTGTTTTTTTCTTTACTGATTCTACCTTCTTACATCTTGTCTGATATTGGAGCTTTGCCATTGTGTCCAAGAAAGCCAGGACCACCAACTGGCTGAGCAGGTTGTGCATACGAGACCCAACCTGGAGCTGCGTAACATCCGGCTATTACCTAATGATATAGATGCTCTGGCTTTTCTAGTTAACTCAGTAAGTGATAGTGGTATTGGGCTGGACTTTGGAGCATGCTCAATGGAGCTGGAGTGTTTAGATGACCTTCCCAGGTGTCAGTACGTTCACTACCTCTGGTAAGTCCACACAAGTTATCCATGTAAAGTGCAAAACACATTCAAAATGCAAAGGAACAATTTTTATGTTGAGTGGGGAGGGACGCTTGAATTTTATAAAATGTCATGAAGCTGCAATTACATGACTCTGCTGAATTGTCCGCTCTCTCTCCACTTCGAGGATGGGCAACTGGAACAGTGATGGAGCGTCAGTCAGATATAGAAGTTTACCCCCAGTAACACAAACAAGAGTGAGCGAGATGTGTTGCCGGCCCACATCGTCCTCCTCAAGATCCTCAATACCAGTTCAACTACCAGTTCAACTGTTAATTGAGCTGTGTAGCTTTATCGGGTTTTATTGTAAAAATGTTTGCACTTTTTGTCTCCTTCACGCTTGGAAGGGGAGTGTGAAACAAGGGAGTAACGACACCTCAAGATGCCACTAAATCCTACACACTGGTCCTTTAAACTGCTGTATTGTCCAACTGGCATTAATATTATACTAGTGGAAGGCTATATAGTATACTACTATGTAGATTATAATGAATATGCTAACATTATATAATACCTACTGTATAAACATATTTCACACATTATTGTTATAAATGTTGTTCTGTGATCTCTTTTACATAAAGTGAGGGGTGGTGGCTGCTGGAAAAAAAAAAACCTAGAGGAAACACTGAACGCAGTTGCTGACATTCCTCAGCTTATTGGCCACCTGTTGCACATTGCTGTGAAACTGACATAGGCTCTCTGTTTGCTGCTGTGTCCCAGACGTTGGCTCAGTGTTTCTGTAACATGCTGCCTGGACTCAAGGGCAAAAAGACGACAAGGATATTGTTATTAAACCATCTCAAAAGAAAATTAACTCCCACACAGAGTGAATACTTGCATATAATTTAATAGGACCTTCCTAAGATAAGATCAACTCACACATAAAATAATAAACAAGTGAAGCCAGAAGGTGTCAAAAACAAAACTGGGGACACAGACTATTTATGTGAAAAACAAACAGAAGCTTTTGTTCATAAGCTTGGTGAAAGCGTGGTATTCTGCACACTAGACACTTACCAACATTAGGTTTCATTATGAATTTTTTTTTGTTTGTTTGTTTACTTTCAGTTTTCGCAGCCGCAAGTATGGCGACAAGTTTGCTGAGAAGTTGTCCTCCATTTTGCCAAAATTCACAACCCTGAGAAAGCTAGAGTGAGAACCTATTTTTTTTTTTTTTCTTTCTCCTTTCTATTTTCTGTCCGTCGCTTTCTTGAATTCATATCTGGCCTATCAGGAGTGGTGTAGTCTAAATGTTGTTTCCCTTCCTCAGACTATACTCACAGATCAGTGTAATTCAATTTGAAATACTGTAATGGCCCTTAACACCCCTACTGCAATGATTGACTGATTTTCTCTTTTGTCCTCTCAAGGTTTTGTGGTGCCAGTCTCACTGCCCCAGGAGCAGCTAGTTTGGCCTCTGCTCTACAGAACTGTCCAGACGTCACGACTGAGTAGGGTTGCTGACACCTGATACCTAACATAGTATAATGCTGAAATATATTGGATTCTGGTCTGAAAATTGACACCAAGGATCTGTTTTTACATTGCAGACTGAGTGACAATCTGAAAGATGCAGGGATCGAACACATAGCTGATGTTTTTACCAAACTACCCAGACTGGTCTCGGTGCTGTGAGTACATGCTGCTAATGAGAAGCTTTTTTTTAAAATAACCTCAATATCTCAAGATTTTGCTGATTTTTTGTATTTTTACTATATTATTATATTATCATAGTATATTATGAGTACTACGTGTGTGTGTGTGTGTGCACGCGCGCCACCTTGCAGGCTGGGTCGAAACAGCTCTCTGAAAGCAGTGGACTATCTCATCGGGAAGTTGTCTTCATGTTTGAACATCGAGCAAATTCACACAGATTATGAGTGCACACACACACACACTCACACACACACAGTCACACACCAACTAAGTTACAGGCATCGATATTTTTACATGATTTAACACAGAGGCCATACAGCCATACATCGCCACAGGCTCTTTGTTATGGAATCGATGTCAATTTGGGGTTTATTTTCCGCTCACTGTCATTCTTTTAGCATTTGACTGCAATGTATGGACTGCACACATCAGCTTGGTCAGCATTTTCTGCATCCAAAGTATTTTCTCAGTCATATGTAACCTTCAGACTTACTTCATAAACCTCCAAGGCACTAAATAAAAGTTTTAGGTTATTTGAAAAAGTAAGCGAGTAAACATTGTTGTACAATGTAGATTTGTATCTTTGTGCAGTGGGATGAAGGAAATTACGGTAACTTTCTCCCAAAACTTCGATTTGAACAGGTGAGTTAAATGGTTGGATAAACATTATGAGTAAATACAAGTAATTTAGCATACGGTGTCTATGAATAACATTGTCATCAAATGAACTCTGCACATACTGACCATTTATATTCCTGAATTCCCCTCTGCAGCCATAAGTCTGAACCTACAATCAGGTAAGACAATGACACTCTTATCAAATGTTGATCACCTTCCAGAGCTTTACTAACATAGCCAGTTTCCTGAACTTTGCTCCTTTGAAGTAAAATGGCTCTTAACAAGGTTCACGTACCAGAAACAGCCTCTGAATGTGTGAACTCAGTCAGTTCAGTTCATGTGCCGATTGACTTGAATTTGATTCAGTTCATGGTTTTCAATTTCGATGTTTAGCACTTTTTTTATTGTTGATAATCCTGTGGTACTATTTGTTCTCCAGCTTGTTGAACCAGAAATGGAGCACACCTGAGATGCAAATACTTGCAGAGTCATTGGCACGTTGCCCTGCCTTGTCTGTCCTGGAGTAAGTGAGCCTTACCAAAGATAGAACCAGTGGTGGAATTAAACTAAGTATACTCAAGTACTGTACTTAATGGTGGGGTAAGCAATTTTGGAGAAATCAAATACCATGACATATGAATACCATCTGTCCGATCCACTCTCTTTCCCATTTACTGAGCCAGAGCTGTGTACAACCACCGATATTCAGTTTGAACAAAAGGTTTATTGGATTAGAATCACATTACTCCACCTTCAAGTATGAATTTCCATTATGTACAACTTTATATTTATACAACAGCTCAGAGGCAAATATTGTACTTTTTACTCCTCTACATCTACGTCAGTCAGCTTTAGTTAGTATTTACTTTTATCCTTCTTGTCCAGTGAAAACCACGTATCTCCAAATTTGGTGCTTGTGAATTTGAATGTTCCTTTATGGGTTGAGAATATGTTCCATCATATTAAGTTACAGTTTTTCTCAGTTGCTTTGGTACATTTCTCGAATCATCCTCAAAATTTGCAAAACAGTAAGTGCATTTCTCAAAAACACCTTGGATTACCTGCCAATGCCACTTTCTTGATCAAAATCCTTAGTTAATCTCTCAAAAGTAAATATCCGTGTCAATGAACATGTCAGTGCCATCAGAATTACAAGTCCTTGTGTCATAGTATAAGGATAAGACAGTCAAATTGCTTAGTCATGTTGTCAATATAACAGTGTACTCTGGAGGGATGTTCTGATGTAAACTATGGCCAAAGTTTTGATGACAATTATTGTAAATTGTAGGTTACACCTTAGTGTATGTGGGAGTTTGATTGCAAGAGACTGGACAAGATTCACATTTAAACTTTTACTGTTTGTACTGTAGTGTGTTGACAGACCATGTCATTGTGGTACAGAAAGGAAAAGACAGCACTGCGTAGCACAAAGAAAAAAAACAAAAAAAACAAAAGTAGAAATGTGAACATAGGACAGTCTCCTTAGGGAAAACTGTACATGCAGTGCTGTAGGAATTACAGTGCAGTCTTCCTACACCTCCTGACGTTCCTGTCGGTTGGGCCACAAATTCTCATCCACATCACAACGAATATCTTCTCTTGCGATGCAGCGTGGAAAAATCTTTTACAGTGTCTTATCCAGCCTCTGCAGGCATCTGCTGTGATGTCATCACACGCTGCATCCATGGCAGCCAGAATGGTCGTCTGTGTATGTGGATGGCGATCATATACTTTCCATCTCCATGCTGAGAAAATTTCCTCAATGGGATTACGGAATGGGGAGTAGGGTGAGAGGAACTCCATCAGCATCCTATTCTGGGCCGCAAACCATTGCCTGATGACGTTGGAGCGATGGAAACTGACATTGTCCCAAACTATCACGTACCTTGGCAGGTCATCTCCAATCTGACCCCTCTCTTCTTCAGGGATGGGATCCCTGTAGAGAGTGTCTAAAAAGGTGACAAGACGCTCTGTATTGTATGGCCCAATAATGAGAATATGCGTTAGCACACCATTCTTAGAGATAGCAGCACCCATGGTTATGTTCCCGCCCCGTTGGCCTGGCACATCAACTGTAGCTCTGTGGCCGATGATATTTCGACCACGCCTTCTGCGTTTCGTTAGGTTGAAGCCAGCCTCATCCATGTAGATGAAGCTGTGCGGTGGTTCACTTGCTTCCAGTTCCATTATACGCTATATCCAGAAGACACAAAATGAGTTTGATGAATTACATGCATTTTCATTTTGGCAAGATACAGTTACATCACATGTATACAGCACATATTGCATCTTCTTTTCTACAGCCATAGCAAATGTGTAAAGGTCACACTTACTGTACTGTATATCACTATACGATGTTGTACTGTTTACTGTGAGGTACAGTTGCTGCATGCTCATACATGTTTTACCTTTACATACTGGTAGCGCAGCACCTTCACTCTTTCACCATTTCTTTCAAATGGAACGGTGTACAGCTGCTTCATATTAATTTGGTGTCTTTTCAGCACGCTGTCAGTGGTTGAGATGCTGACTGTTTGGATGTTATCAAATATGCTGTTGTCCTCTATAATGGCACTCTGTATCTCCCTTAGTCTTATGGCATTGTTATCTACAACCATGGTGCAAATAGCCTCCTCCTGTTCAGGTGTGAAAAGGGGCCCTCTGCCACCCCTGTGAAGTTGTCTTGCAGGCCTATGTGGAAAAAATAATAGGAAAAAAACACAAAATTGAGTAAGATAAAATGTCAGTTTACGTAAAGTATACTTACTGTATATTGTAAAATACAAGTGGAATACTGTAATATTGTATGAAGCATTACAGAAAGTATACAGTATTACAGTACAGTGCCTATTATTAGATTACATACCTGTTCTGTTGACGAAAAGTCTGAATGATTGAGGACACAGTTGTTCTCCCAACATTTGGCTGCACCCTTCGACCAGCCTCGGCCATTGTAAGCCCATGATTGAGAACACGGTCTACAAGTGTGGCTCTTATCTCATCAGGAACGCGCATATGTCCTCGGCTTCTTCTGCCTCTTCCTCTGTTTTGCCTCTTCTTCTTCTCCCTGGCTGTTGACCCTGTCCAATTCTTTGTCCTTCCATTGTCAGAAATTGTAACATTGTGTTGTGCTCCGGTTATATATATACTTGCCAGTTGATTGATTCGTTAGAGAAAGTCAAGATTCACCTGGGAGCATGTATGGATGTACCAAAGCATTTGCAACTTGTTCAAAGAAATGAAAAACTGCTTTTTTGATGTGCACAAGTGACACAATGATTTGAAGATTGAACAGGTAGTTTTGAGAATTTCAATTCTGATCTGAGAAATGTACCAAAGCGACTGAGTACTGTAAATAAACTACTTAAAAACTCTCTTGTATTAGCTGGAAAATGCATCGTCACAAAATGCATTGTGCGGTTTTTCTTAGCTCGTGAAAAATGTTAGAGCTACGTGGTTCTCACAGGACAGAAAAGCTATGAACATATGATCTTAATCTCCCCCAACAGTATATAACGTTGATAGCTCCTTAACCTTAAAGCTTCACCTTAAAGGAAAACTTTGCTGATTTTGGACCAGCTTTGTATGATTACAGTGTTGATTACGTGTTGACTGCACCCAGAGCTTTTGCAAATGTGTCATCTGGTGGACTCTTGCTGGCAAATAAGCTCTTGGTAATGATATAAAGCTGGCTGACATTCGGCAAGGTTTCCCTTGAACTACAACAGTAAAATGTAACAGTAATGCAGACCTCCCTGGGGTCCTAAAAATTGTGCTAGGAGGTCCTCCTATCTGACCCGTAAGCCATGTAAACTATTTGCCATTGCCACACAGTGGCACCTGATACCCAGTGCTCCCACAATCCTCCCTCCTTTTAAAACAGTTTACTCCCTCTCTCAATCCAAGAATTAGTAGAACTATACAGAACATATATATATATATATAAACAATGTTTATTGAATAGAATATTTTATATTGAAGTAAATATTAACAATAACATTTTAGAAAGGGCTCTGCTGCCTGGTAATTAGTCCAGTCCTCACAATATTATATTATATATTAAAATACCAGGTCCTTTTAAACTGGCTAACCCGGATTTCCTTTTATACACAAAAATATTATATATATAGTATATATATATATATATACTATATATGGCTTGACTGAATACTTGATGAATACTTGATGGTTATTGTTTACTGAGAGATGTGGAGCCATATTACAGGCTGCCCAGCGAATCAACATTTTACAGTTTTTCTCAATTGTTTACACACAAATACTGGTACCAATTCTCCTAAACTACAAGCACAATTCCTGCTTTACTCTCAAATTGCAGTTCAAAACACTACACACAATTCTCTGCATTTGGCACAATCATGAAGAAAATATCTTGTTTTCATAAGGAACACACTGTCATTCACAATTCTAAAGTTAATTGCCCTACTATGTACACTGACTCATCACATGGGCAAACACCTGTCACACAGTTTTACAATTAGCAATCAGAGCTTTAACATAAAAGGGCAACAGCTTAGGGTTAGGGTTAACGCGTATACCCTTTCTCCAAGCCATGGAAGACGCATGTGGAGATATAGCAGTTGATGCTTTTCATGGCTGGATATTTGGCTTGGCCAGGGAAAACATTGCAAATATATTTTATTTTTCCCACAAAAACAATGTACACAGTCATTGTTTTTGTGGGAAAAATAAAATATATTTGTTACCGTGTATTTAAGGCCTAAGTCTTTATGATGAATGGAGAAAACGTGTTTTCCATTCATCATAGTGTTTTACATTGAGCACATCAGTGTTCAACTGGTTCTTATAAATGTCTATTCATATGATGGTTTGTGTGTGTCATTTGAAAACAAAATACCATTTTGAGAAGAAATAACATTGTTTTGAATGTAAAGTTTAATTTTGCAGGAGAATTGAGGGGTTTTGCCCATTGTGTGTGTTTTTTGATTTGTGTGTTGAGTTCTGAGAGTATGAGGCATGCTTTCAGAAAATGTGTGTAAACAATTGTGAAAAACTGTAAATTCAATATTTACAGTTTTTCTCAATTGCTAAAATACGATTTCTGAAACCTTGCTCCATTTTCTGAAAACATTAAACACAAAACCTCACCTTCAAGCACTATTTACAAAACCTCTGGCTCCTTGTGCAAAATGAAACTTTCGCCTCAAAACAGTTTTACCTGTGCTCAAAATGAAACTTTCGCCTCAAAACAGATTTATCTGTGCTCAAAATTAAACACTGCTCTCAAATCATAAACAAAGCGATCAAAATGATATACACTATCAGGCAGTCAGTAAACAATACACCAAAAAATAGAAAACACGTTGTTCAAAACATATAGTTCTCAGGGAGAAGTACATTTTTAATCTAAAAACAAATCATATTTTAGCGATTGAGAAAAACTGTAATCATCTTGCGTAGTGTGCGTTTAGGGTGGACGGGCTCTGCAGTAATGTAAAGCCAAAACATCATATATAATATTGAAACACTGTCAGGGACCATTTTTCTACACAATGAGTACTTTCGCTTGTTTGTTTGTTTCGCTGATACTTTCCTTAAAATTTGCTGTTAACACTTACATACATACATACTTTTACTTTTGTAAAGGATCTAAATACTTGTTCCACCACTGGATACAACGTACTGAAAGAGAATAATGCAGTGCCGAGTATAATAACTGCTAGTTATTGACCTCTTGTTTTATTTGTCTGTGTGGTCAAAGTTCAAGCATTCACAGTGTAAGTAACTGGCAGATGATATGTTTTATGTGACTTCCTACTACTTCCCGTTTTGTCACTGGAGCAGGGTTGACCACAACTGACATTTATGTATGTTATAATTAGATATTCAGGACTATCATTTATCACTGCTAGTGAGAGTGGATACCCTGGCTGTAATTCAGATTGAATCATTTGTAATACTACTACCGCGAGTGCATTCATTCAAAACAAATGTTTATATAGTTCTGTGTGTATATGTGTGTGTGAGTGAGTGTGTGTGTCCACCCTAGTCTGTCTGGAGGCCAATAGGATGTGGAAACTCTAAGGACACTGACTCAGTTCTTGCCAAAGTTCAGTGTCACCAAAAAGATCATGTAAGACTGGATTTATACCAAACTACCATTCACAAAGAACACAAGATGAGAGTGACAAAGTATTCTGCATATGGCACATTTTTACTAATATACTACTAATACTAATATGCCAGTTGTGCTATACTGACAAAAACAGTGTTTGACATTCATAAGAACTGAACAGCAGCAGATTGTTGACGTTCAGATGTTGCTTCTCAGTGTGAACGACAGCTGCTCTTCAGTGGAGGGCTTGGTGATTCTGACTGCTCTCCTGTCTGAATGTCCGACTGTGATGGAGCTTCATATCAGGTACAAACATGTACGTACCATAAATGCACACACCTCTTAAAAGTACTGCACTAACAAATTTGCTCACATCAGACAAAACCATCATACCATTCCTCTCCTACAAACAATCAGCAACATATTTAAATTGTATTTAGCCTGCCTGTTTAGATTGTTTAGTAATATAAGCCACATATGTAGGTAACTTAAAAACTCCCAGACACGTTTATACAACGGTTTAGAACAGTAATGTGTGTGATTTCCTCAAAATAGTATAAATAACACTTAACCCTAACCCTAATTAATAACCCTATTAATATGCACATGTTGTTCATTTCTCAAGTTTTCTTGCTGGACACAAGATGTCTTCTTTGTCCATTCTCACTGTATGTGCACTGACTTGTATATCTTGTATAAGTTGCATGGTGGACCAGGGTTCACTTCCAAACTGTATCTGTATTTTCTTCATGTTTCAGACTACAGAGTCCTATTCAGGTCTCTATAGTGTTCTCTGGAGGGAGAGAAAAACCTGCAGATAAAAGATCTAAACTGCTCTGGTATGTATTAAGTACAAACAATAGACAAAGAACAATTTTGGAACAAAGGGAAACTTTATTTTATACATTTATGTTACTAAATATTGGTATTACTGGTGGTAATTATGATGCTGTTGCCTCTGTTAGTCTCAGCTGCTGTGGTCTGCAGCCTGCTGATCTGGAGAAAGTGTGGAGGAGTTTGGGAACCTCACCTGATCTCACTTTGCTGGAGTAAGATACACACAAACATAATCAAAAACCAATCATTTTATTACGTGTAACAGCAAGTCATTAACACACTCTGTACTGAGATAGACTGTGAAGTACATACTGCTGTGTAAAAAATCTAAAAATACTATTCTCTCCTGACCTCTTATGTTACGTGTTGGTCAGCAGTAGCAACCCATTTCAGTCCAGTAGCTGAAATCAACTATGTTGAATTCAGCTTTGAAAAAACAAACTTATTCATCTCTAGTTTATAGTTACTCTTGTTAGTTACTGTACCTCTTTAGCAGTCATCATGTCTCTGCAGTGGCCATAAATTGCAGTTTAATGTTATTTTTATGTATTATTATTTTTTATGCAAACCTAGTTTATTTTATTATTTCTACCTATGTTGAACTCTTGTTTTTGTCTCTGACATTATTTGAACCCCACATTCTTGTCCGTCAGTCTGTCCAGTAACTGTTTAGGCAACAAAGGTCTGAGGAAACTGTTGGAGGTCCTGCCTCGGCTTAGTATCATCCAGGAGATCAAGTAAGACTTGCACACAAAGTGTCAAAACATCTGAAACTTTACTGGTGATAACAAACCCCCAAAATAGGGAGTGTATTTATTAAGAATGAGTGACTCTGCTGGTAGGATTTTGTGTGTTTTGAGTGTTTCAAATGAAAGATGGTGGTAGACTGGGCTGGTCTAATCTAGCTGGCAAACACTGGGCATTTGTTTTCTCACCAAACTGGTTCCAGGCAAAACGTGCCAGTGCTGGCAATTACTACCCTGGGGTATTATTCAGTATAAATATCTTATTTAGAGCTAAATGATGTCCCTCGCCTTGGCTCATTGTTTTTTGTGTGTGTGTTTTTTAGTGCCAGGAACAACGAGATCAGCATGGAAGGAGTGGTGATGCTGGCTGGTGCTTTGTGTTCCCATAACAACTTAACACAAATTCACATCAGGTGCTTTTTGTTTTTTTTAGGCATTAATAATTAATTTTATTAGAGAATCTAAACAGTAAGCACCTGTTTCAAGCAGCCAGATAGAACAGCTGATAGAAGCTGTGTAACAGCTCAGTTTTTATCTGTTAAAATACCAGTATATATGTCATAAACACTAAGTGACTTGGGGGACATTGCTGTTGTTAACTATAAACTAGTGTTGTGCACATTGTTAATCTGATAGTGTCCTGTTGGTTTTATAGTGATGGAGGCAGAGAGCAGCTGACCCTGAAGTTCTGCCCTGACAAAAGGTAGAAAAGCTCCACACATCTGGACACCACTGTCTGCTTTTTCATTTGTCAGTTAGT